TATTTGAGGCAGCAGTTCATCTGAGAATGGCTGTCTGAATGATCGAAGTGCACCTCAAGCGCTCAAAGATAGAGTACAAGATAATTTGAGCTCATGCATATTGGCGTCACAGCTTGCGGAAGTGCTGTAGAGTCGAGCAGAATTTAACGTCATGTGTAGGGAGTGCGTAGTCAATTAACTCCAGTCGCTTGGGTTAATTGTCCTGTCAGCGTGCAGCTCGAAAGCGGACGGATGTTCGGTGCACTCGACGGTAAATTGAGGCGCACGCGCACTGCTCGACATGTGCGTTGTATTTTCACACGTATACTCCCACAATATACACTTTCGGTTTCTGCAACGTGTAGGGGACGACCACATGATAATTTGGTCAGGAACTAGGCGATACCCGATACCGGCCCCTCCCCCCGTGGATGCATTGTAGGCTTTGTAGGACAGGAGATCGAAGTAAATTGAGTGCAAAGTCCGCCAGCAGTAGAGAGTTTCGTCAACTTCATTGAACCATGCAGCACTGTGATGCGAACAAAGGTTGCCGATTTTTATTATCCTGCATGGGTTGGGGCACGGTGATTCGTCAGAGAGAGGTTCTGGCACAAGAAGCACCGCACGCTTGTTTAGGGCATCTGGCCCTCCCAATCCTCCTTCTTTGCAGTCATTGATTTGAGGAACACTAAATTGGGTAGTAGAGATTGTCTGTGAGACGCACATCATAAACAGGCTGCGGAGACAGGGGCTCGGTGTGCAGCACGGTCAGCCAATAGCCTCCCTGCGACAATTTTCCTTAGGTAAGCAATGCCACAAAGCCGACCCTTTCTAGACAGAGGCAGCCAAATTCAGGTTTTCTCCTGAAAACCTTGGCCTTTCTTCTGTTGTTGCTGCACCGCGGTAGCAATATTGGTGATCAGCAGCCGTTCGCTACACCCTGAATTGCCAGGCACTGTTGGATGAAAATTCGAAATGTTTGATGCATACGAAGACGCCTAGAGATAAAGTCTTGAAACGATAAAGGATGTCACTTTTCTGTGGCTCCGTTGCCGTTCATGAAGAAAAACTGTGTGAAATGATCTACACAATCTTGCCACCAGATAGAACTTGTCAGTGGCATGCAAGACACAGAAGCGCTTCTCAGGATTGCACGGATTATCTCCGCCTCACAGGCATTTTAAATCGCAACGGCGAAATTTGGCAGAGTTCTCTGATGCCTAGCCTGAGGGGTGGCTTCACACGGAGCTTATCTAAAAACCGTGTTCGGTTGCTGAAAAACCTTGCACCGTGTCGCCTGTTCCTACCGTCATAGCCGGCATTGGTGGCTTTGTCTGCATGTAGTCCTGTATGGACGTGAAGTTCACCCAAGGTAGAAGGGTTACGTTTACTACAGCAGCCAGGGACTGATGGGCTGATGTTGTTCCTTGTCGCTAGCGGTTTCTGAGCGCAATTGCTTATCTAGTATGCCGGTTACACCTGCATATTAGATAGCCCTTCTCAGTATATTATGCAGCCTCCACCCATCCAGTGAAGACCTAGAAGAGGAGGCAGTGACCATGAAAAGCCGGCATATAGGCATTGCGTTTTAAAGTATAGGCCGGACTGGCGGATATTCCAGACGCAAACCAGTGTGGCAGTGTGGCTGGCAGTGTGGCAGCGTCTGCAGTTGAATCACCTTTCCCACAAATGTTTTTAAATTTTTTCCTCAGTGAGTAAGTACTCCTCACGTGCAATTTGTTTGTCGTATTGCATCTCAAGCGACAATTCGCAAGCCACATTTACCAGACGCAAGACTAAAGGTCTTGTTCTAAAAGCCTTGGAAACCTGAATAATTTATTTCAAAGCCGCAATCTAGGCGCAGCGAGGCGCAACCAATGTTTGCTTACACGGTTGCTTGCCGAGGAATGCCGGTTACCGGATCAATGGACAATGATTGGCAAATTAATCCCATTTTGAGGCATGGAGCGTGTATTCCGTGTTGTCCCTTTAGGCAAAGGGTTTAGGTATAGGCTTAACCGTTTGCTGTTTAGGAGTTAAGGTTAAGCGTCGTAGGAATTAGGTTTTAAAGCATTAGGTTGTAGGGTTAAGTGCTGAGGGTTTCTGCTTTGGAGCTTTGGGGTTTGCGGTTCATGTTTAGTCTTGACGGTTTAGGGCTTTATGGCCTAGGCCCCTAGATTTTATGTTTATAGTTGGCAATTTAGGGCTTTATGGCCAAGGCTGGAGTACATGGTTGAGGGTCAGGAATTAGGTTATTCGCCTTACGGTTAAGGTTTGTAAGGTTTATTGCTTTTGGTGCTAGCGCTGTGCTTTTTGGGGCGCAGGATAGCTAGGAGCCCATTAGTCCAAATGAGAGTCTCGAAGGTATCCATAGCCCTTGGGTTAATCCCTGGCTAGAGCAACAGGCTACCCAGTGCGACGAACTCTGCTGTTGTCGGTTTTCTTAGCCCTTCTGTTTTCTCCTGGTGTACTGGCGTTTTTCTGTGTCGTTGTCCTGCGCCTCTGGCAGCGTATTTGTGTTGTCCTTGTGTCTCCATGTATTTTGAGCTCCTGCCACTGTTTCTGTCTGTGTCTGTGTGCCCACATACGTTGTGCGTGTGCCAGTGTCTGTCTGTGCCACTGGATTTGAGTTCATGCGTGCGCCTTGGTGCTTATGTCCCTGTATCAAATCTTGTGCTTCACCCGCTGAGCCTCTGTTTCCTTCTCTGTCTGGTCCTGTCTCTCCCTCCCGTTGTCGTCGTTGTCCTCCTGTATCCTGGAGTCTCTGCGTCTGTTTCTGCCATTGTCTCTAGCTGTGTGTTTCCGTGTGTGTTCTTGTGCCTGAGAGAGAGCCTGTCTCTCCCTCTCTCTTCCGCTGTTGTCCTCCTATCTGTCTTCTGGAGTCTTTGTTTCTGTTTCTGTCACTGGCTCTAGCTGCATCTTTCCGTATGTGCTTTTGTGCCTCCTTGCCACTTCAATTTGTTGTGTATATTCGACAGCAGCACCGTTCATTTTCCTGTCTCCTGCCTTGTCATCTCTGCTGTGCCGTGACCGTATTATTGCTTTAAGATAACCGGTATATTTAATTGTTTTTCTCCTTTTACTATTTTTGTTCTACTCAGTTTATTCTATTATCCTTTGTTGCTCGTTGAAACTGTACTCTGGCGGCATTTTATCGCTTGAAGGAGACCCAGAGCAAACGAACAAACTAGAGAAACAAAAGCATTGACCCGTGTGCAATCCCTTAGGACGGAACGAACAACAGCATTGATGCTATTTCAAATGAATTGCTTTGAACTCAGTTGTTTGCTCTATTTGTTTGAAAACCGCTCAACGCGCACAAATGGCATTTCGCTTTGACAAAACGGCCACCTGTGAGTGTCTTTTGACTCCTGGAACTTGCTCTGCTCGCGGCCTAGCTCAGAAAGTGGTTGTATGATGTGCAGAAATTGTATCTGTATCTACCCCCAAACAGCAGTGACATGCACTTGCGTAGACGCATCACAGGTCCTCACTGCTGCATGTATAGCACTGTCGGGGTCTCAAACATGGTAGAAGCACGGTACCAACACGGAGCGTTTTGCACCGTTTCTCATGCATCGCCAGCAGCTAGTGAAATGGTCGCAGCGGTACAAGGGGAAAGGCAGTGGGGCCAAATGAAGAAAAAGTCAATGTTCCCGACTGTAGAGGCAGTAGCAGCAGCTGGGCGCTCGACTGCGGCGTGAAGGCGTGAGGGATAAAGAGAGCGCAGCGGTACAGACCCGGCCGCTGGATGCGAGCAGGCGGTTTGTGAGAATGTTACATGCAGCGCGGCGGGCGTTGTAATCTGTTACTGATGGGGCACTACTATTGCCCTAGGTGACTACTACTAGCAAAGTTCTACCAAAGCCGCCCTTCCTGCAGTACTCCACGAGGGATGCAACAACTCGACCGCGCTCCACTCGCATACAGGGAGCGTGCTGGATAGGGCGGGCGGCTCGCCAGAAGAAACAACGAACAAACACCTCGCGGGGCAACCAGCGAGGCCTTCGTTTGTAGGCGAGCATGGTGGAGAGCTGGTCATCTGGGTAGCTGCGGAACTGGCTAACTAGTTAACTGCCTAGTCCGGTAGCTGGGCGGAAAGCAGGGCACCGCAGACTACTGGACTTAGCAGCAAGCAGCTGTCACAACTTCTGCGGTGTTGTTCATACACTTCCTTGCTCGCATGTGCTCGAGCTCGGAAACTCCTCCCCTCTCTATCTACCTCACTCAGCTCCAGGACTGCGCAAGCAAGCCGTTCAGGCTCTATACACACAGGAACACTTTTTCACTAAATGTGAGACTTCTTCCTCCGCCATTAGCAGGTTGCCTGCTAGAAAGAAAAATTGCGATGTACTTGAACACTGCAAACACACCCAACAATTGGGGAATGATTTCCGAGCTGCTGCAAGGAGGAAAGGAACAGCAGTGGCATCTGCTTTTAGGGTCCCATCCAGCCCACACTGAAGTCCGCACAAATTTCCTGCAAGGGAAATAGCCCTTGCAACACTAACTCAACATCGTCTTGAGGCAAACATTCATCAATGAGCACTTTTCGCATGCATGGAAGCAAGAATGAACATTATAATTTGACCCGCCTATTTCGCTATAGCCACTCACTGCAGCGAGGGAAAACGCCCAATGTATTCAGTGCCATACTTTGTAGCTCAATCCGCTACAGCACGTGCTGCTCCTCCTGGGATGGCTCTCGTTCCGCTGTTACACCTCCTCAGGCGGATTTGCTTTTGTGTGGGGAACAGCGGTTTTTCGCTGTGAACGACCATTTTAGTGAAGGAGACCGGGAGGGGCGTTAATAGCGATTGCCTTAGATTCGACCTTGATTTCCTCCACAGTTACACCCAAAACAAACGGCAGGAGAAACCTACCCGCAGCAAACAACAAGAGCAAAGAACGTAACTGCAGCAGCATGATATAACGACAGTTGCTACAGACTTTTTGAGCGTCACTGCACTTGCGTCTGCTGCGGCATCGGGCTGTGAGTACGCGCTGTCTCTTTTCAGCTCTTGGAGTGTATGTCGGTCGCCTGTGGCAGCCGTTTGTCACACAGTTTTGTTTTTGTGTGCCTCACGAGTTGCTTTTCGGCTTTTTGTCGGTCTCGCATGTAACGGAACTGAGACCTGGCGCCACCCCCAAACACGACGAGAGGTTGACGACGTCATGGGTGTCACTCCAATCCGCTTCTGCATACTTCGACGCCTCCCCGCCGCTGCTGCTGGGGCACGCAAAATTCAAAGCCCTCTCCGCTGCATCGGTAGCTGCCTCTCCTTTTTTGGGAAAAAAGCGACGGCCTCGATCCCAAGAAACTAAACTCCCCAGAGACAGTCGCTGATAAAAATGACGACCAAGCCGACGGCCCGAGCGCCCTTCAGGACCTTCCAGGCTCAACAGCTCATGTGGAACACTCGGGGGAGACACCTGGGCACTGTTTTCTCCTTCCCAAAGCCCCTTGCCGCTGCAGCCCTGCACCTGCTGCTGCCGTTGCTGCTGCTGCTGCTCATGGGTAGGCAAGTCACAGGCAGCAGCAGCCGTTTGGAGCATCCACTGGAGCGCATCTTGGTCGTCGGCGCTTGATGTCGTTGTTTGTTGACTTCCGCATTTGTCAGGGCACTTGCTCGACCTTTGGGTGGCTTGAAGGCACAGTCGTTCGTGAGTCACTGCTGCTGCGCAGTCGCTGAAGCGAAGACCACAGCCCTCGCATTCGTACAGTACCGGAGGTTCCTCCTCTTCGAGCTGCATGGACGGGGGCTGATCGGGACCCAGTGCATGCAACGCTGAAGCGAGCAAAGCAGGTGGTGGCGCTGCAGGGTCTCTGTAGGCTTCCATTAGCAGACGGCGTGCTGGAAGGTCCTTGTAGAACTCAATCTCCAGACAGTCGTCTGCAGCGCCCACCGCCTCCTACAGGCACAAGAGTTAAATACAATGATGATAGGAAGATGCCCAATAACAATTAACGCAAATGAAGCGACGATTCAAAACGATGGTTAAAGACAAACATAGCGAAAAAAGGCGATAATGCAAACAACACAAGTTCGAAACCAAAGACGAGCACTTGCACAGTGGTAAAGACAAACATGGAACCGACACCCACGCGTGGAGAAAACAGTATTATTGGATAATAATTAGCACAGACACAAAGAAAAACAGGGATGCTGCTCCAGGAAAGGGGTGCTTTATGACTGAGGCAAGAATGCAAAACACCAAAAGGAGAACACACATACAGGAACAAAAAGGACCAGGAGGTCGCCCTCTCACCGGCTTGAGTCTCATGTCATGTTTGGAGACAACATCGGCAACCTTCCCAATCTAAATTCCACAGAAACAAGACACAACGAGGAAACTGATATGCCATCGTGTACTTTGGGTCTCAGTATTTCTCGGTTTGCCGCACTGCCATGCTAATTTGAAACACGAACACACCTATTTTAAGGTGGTGTCAAAAGAGGGGCAAACAAAAACCACAAGCGATCAAGGGGAAACTGTAATAAACACGAAGAATGAGCATGAGGACAAAGTGCAAACACCGGCAGGTACACGCACATAAACACTAAAAGAATCACGGGCTGAGGAGGAAACGGCAAATAAACCAGCGGAAGAAAAACAGGCGACGATATGACAAGCAAACAACGCAGCCAGGTGAGTGGGGGCAATAGGGCAACCACCGAGTGTTTGCGGAGGCAGGAGGGGATGGCGAATAGACGGAAAGAGGTGGAAAGAAGCCAACTGACAATTTCCTTATTCGGATTGTTGGAGAGGCGGACGTCAAATCCAACCAAATCTGCAGCCAAAACGCTGTGTGGTGGTAGCAAGGAGCTGCTCTGCTTTGGGTGTACGTAGACTTGAAACCCCGACAGAGCAGTTGCCGCCGCTCTGCATGCAGTCAAAACAGGGCAGTAGTAGCAGCAGCAAGTACACAAGATGAGACAAAAGAAAGACGACGGAAACGAGACAGCAGGGGGCAGACACAATGATACAGCCAGCTGGCATTTTCAAGCCATGTCATGGATTTCTCGCCTACCTGTCATTTATCCCTTGTAGCTTCACTAGTGCAACTTGCTTGCCTCCATGCTTCTGAACAAGACGACCACTCTCTACTTCCCTTGAAACAAACAGTCCTCCGACTCTCCCGCCCCCAAAAAACAAACGAGATGCTGCGATGTATGGACACCCCAAGTCCCCAGAGCACAAACACTTGCAAATTTCCTCATTCCATACTCCGCGGGAGGCCACATAGAAACCAACACAACACAGAGAGCGATACAACAGCAAACAAAACAGTGCACGAGATGAGAGAGTAAAACGCAAGAGGATCAGGTCCGGCCAATCGAGGCTAAAAAATAAAATAATCCGACAAGAGAGGAGAATGTCAGCCGCGGATAAACGACGAACGCAAACGGCCTAAAACATAAAAATGGGACAAATTCCTATACTGCTGAAGAGAGGGGCATGGAGACTCAAAAAAGGCAAAACGCCCAAAGGATTAAATAAGAGGGGAACTAGCAGATGTGGAGAAGCCTGCCAGAGGAGACAGTGAGAGAAACCAGCGCAAAATGTGTTCGCGATAGCGCAAAGAGAGGAAACAGCAGCAACAAGAGGGAGTAACAGAAACGGCACATCAACTACAGAGGCTGCCGCAGAAGGCATTCGATAAGAAGCAGGGCGAGGCAGCTGCAGTAGCAACTGTAGCACGAGCATGCTCTCACACGGGCAGCAAAAGCGTTGTTCCACAAAAGCAGTAGACGGAAATATCTCCAAATGCCCTCGGAGTCCGTGTGCACCGCCCACACGACCAACAGACAGCCAACGGGCTGCTGTTGGATTGACGGGCACCTCGCCAGCTCTCCCGTGAGCCGCTGAAGCATGAATACCTGAACCTTCAGAAGCATGGATAGCTGAATCTCCTGGAGCGCTTAAGTTCTGCTCTTGCTCCGAATCCGCAGCAGCTGCTGGATGGATGCGCTCTGTGCCTGCTTTAGAATAGCAACTTTTGGGATACCGGTGCAGCACACCAGGCAGAGGCGATCGAGGCTCCAAACCCTCCAGCGCATCACATCCAACGAGAGAGCTGCCAGTTCCTGTTGCTTCTGCTGCTGCTTCTCCTGTGGCAGCTACTGGTGAGGCTGATGCTGCACTGGTTGCTGGTGTCGATGGAGTTGCCACTCCTACCGCGGCACGTGCTGCTATTGCGGATACTGTAGAATGTCGTGGAGGTGGTTCGGCTGCTGCTCCTGTCGCTGCTATGGCAACCTCTCCTCTTCTTTCTGTTGCTCCTCCAGCTGCTCTGAATCTTTTTACAGCAACAACTGCTGCTACTTCTGCTGCTGGTCTGAGCGTTAGTTGTGGGGCTACGAAAAAGGAGAGGCTGCGGTGCCGTAGAGGCAGTAGCAGTTCAGAGGTCCCCCGCAAGGCAAAGAGTAAGGACAATTGCATGAAAAGGCGAAACAAAGTGCACAACGAGGAAAGCATTGAAATTAACTGGGTGGAGTAGAAGGGCGATATGCAATACAATGGTGTTTCGTAGTTTACAGTCTGAGAGGCTAGTCTCCTCGAGTTCCGCTGGTGGTACGGGTGCACCCGCTGTTGCCCCCGGTACTACCGAGACCTCAATCTCTCAGACCTATTGTTTAAGGCGGGTGTGTGTACACCCCCGAGTGGAGCCAATCCATGCTGCTGTTGTTGGGTTTTGGCCCCGAACTGCGTCAGTGCCTATATGTACTGCACACCGTGCGGGAGAAATGATGCACGCAATAGTTAGGTTGAAATGCCTCTGACGCAAAAGAAAAGTATAGTAAAAATATAGAAAATACGGTGGAATATAAGCTGGAAAGAACTATAGACAAGCAACTCTGGGAATATAAACGACCAACTTCTGGTCCCGGTGTTCCTTCTCCCTTGCATAAGGCTTTCGATCGTGTCGTTGTAGAATAAGAAGTGAAATTGCATGCTAAAATCACAAAAAGCCTAAGAGGAAGGATAATATTTAATGTTTCCTTTCCTTTTAGCGGAAGCAATCCACTTGCAAGGGGGCTGCATGCACAATATCGCAGCCCTGTTCGTGAAATCATCTGCGCTTTCAGCATGTGTTCGGTGTTTTTACACACCCTCCTCTCTAGTTTTCTTGGTGTTTACTTGTGAGGCTATCCGGGCTTTTGAGCCTGCCTAGGCTGTGTAGGATCTCCAGCGATGTTTTATCGAACACTTATGCGTATCTCTTGTGTATGTAGGCTATCTGCGGGTTGGTTATAGAGGGACCAGCGAGTAGCCAAACTACTCTATAGTATGAGAGTGAACGTAGAAAAGCAGTTTTAGTCCCTGGATTTTAGTTGGCGGTTTCGCTGAAGCATTAGCAACAGCACGTCGCTCTGCGCATCAGGACAAATTGGTTTCTCTCTGCAATAACTGCACTAGCCCGAATTTGTGGGAGAGCAATTTTCAGGTCGCCTGGGTACGACAGTAGAGGCCTCGTTACGAGAATAGAGCGCATGCATTTCGGGGGAACTCCGTCTGACGGTTTTGTAACGACAGCAGCCCACATTATTCCTCAGATCTGGGGGAGACCTCTCGTTACGCTTGGTAACACCGCACAGCACTATCGTGCGAGGCAAATGCCTCATGGATCGCAGAGGGGTGGCATGTTGCAGAGTACTGATTAGTAATATAGTCAAAGATCGTACCACATTCCGTAGACCTTCCTGAGTAAGGACATGCATGGTAAGACTGACGAACGCCCGACAGCGATGGCTTTAACTAATCATGGATGCCACTGCCTAAGCTCATATCGGTGAAATACTCTAGAGATTTTTTCGGTGGAAACTAGTGGAGAGGCAAGGTATTCCTCTACTACAGTAAAGGTGCCGACAACCGCTGCCAATAATAAAAACTATCTGAACGTACACCCCTAGACATTTGGACCAGTCGGATATAATTTGGTGCTGAAAGACGGAATCGTAATTAAGCGTCAACTAGTCCTGGACACTAAATTCATGCGCATGCCATATTTGGTAGAACCGTCTCAGGATGCTCCAAGGAGCAAAATATTAGCCAAAAACTGAGGAGAGAAATATGTTTCTCAGGAAAACAAACGGGAAGTTTCGCCCGGAAGTTAGAATGTAAAAGCTGTTAAGTCATTATGACACAAATACGCCTGAAGGTACGAGAATGTATTGATATGTTGGAAGCCTTCTTTAGGGTACAGGGCAAATGCCACATTCTTTACGTTCTCATCAAACTTAGCAGTAAAGGCTGCCCAAAGGAAAGACGGGAATGAAAAGATCCACGCGACTGTTTATCAATAACACATTTTCCCGCCAAGCCGAATTACAATGAAAGAAGGCCAACACCGCCCTACTGGTCGTCCAGGACCAGCAGTGTGCCGACAAAAAGATATACTCAGAGCCGCCAGCCAATGCGCTCTTCTACCCCGGCATGCCTCCTACACGCGATGGGTTTACGTTTTAGGGTTTAGGCTTTAGGGTTTAGGTGTCTTCTGGTGTGTAGTAAAGCCTTTAGGGTTTACCCCATTAGGGTTAGGGTTAGGGTTAGGGTTAGGGGTTAGGGTTAGGGTTAGGGTTAGGGTTAGGGTTAGGGGTTAGGGTTAGGGTTAGG